TGACATCAACTCAGACCGTCTGAAAGGGTGATAGTGAACACAGCGAAGGGCTGTTTATCAACGAAATTGCAGTCGGCATCCTTTAGATATTACCATCTTATTGTGAGCATCCCTGTTGTAAAGATCATTCTTGTTCGCCCTCTAGTTGCTCGCAATCTAGCCTTCACTAATCCATCATGTTTTTCCGTCCTGCACATCCCGTGGTCGATCACCTAACCTGACTTTCTTCGGAAGCATTGTGATTAGGCGTCTTCCCCATTCGGCACGCTCAAAAGTGTTCTCACACCAATTTCAATGGACTAAGGGTGAAAGTAGCAGAGGTGAGGTCTCTCAAACAACACGGGGACACTGACATAATATGTTCAGCAGGATCCTGGTTGTCACCGACCATTTCTGATACAGACGAACGTTGCGAACAAGTAACTTTTCTGCAGGTACAAAGAGCCCTGACAGGGAGGAGGAAATGGCCGTCCACGTGAGGCTGTGTTTAAAGACACTGGTGGGGGATTTCATGGCGTCCACGAAACTCCTGAGCTCTTTGTGATGCTACTTCACCCTTCATCGCACCAAATTCGTGGTAGACGTTATATGTGAATCCCCTACTAGTACGCATGACCATAAGGAAACAGCTATCACGGCAACCCTGGCCACAATTTCTGCAGGATACGATCCCCCAATTATCACAGGTAGCATTGAGGCCTTGTCGATCCTCTTCAAGACGGAAGACCAACAGGCTATTAGCTCCTCTAACCAGAAGCCAAAAAGTTCATCCAGGACAACTGGTCTCTCTTAGAAAGTCGTTAGCGTCACACGTCGGACGCCCTGATAGTGCTGAACCGTGCCTGGACTAAGTTCTAACAAACTACCATCTTCTTACTGAGAACATTTACCCAGCCGCCTCTAGCCCCAGTGCTCATGAAGTACTAACCTTTTCCATGATAACCAAGGAAGCTTCCTAAACGATGACAGTGGACACTTCTCCTTGCTACAGCAAAGCGAACCATAATATCATAAGAGATTGCCTTATGGGTGCATAATTGCCTCGGGAGTGAAACCATCTCAGAATTGACGAACACCGGGCACGGGTGAAAGAAATGAACCTTGGGGCCGTCAGTCACAATGTACCAGAAGTAACACACTGACCGTCAGTGAGAACCCAATGGCCAAAGCTCAGAGGAGGGTGGTCACTTCAGACAAAAACCAGGGCCTGGTTCTAAAGGCGCTCACCACCCAGGGAGTTAGTTTTGTTGACTTACAGACAGTGCAACAGCGGTGACATGTTTAGCTTCTAGCCAAACCTACCAAACCAACCAAAAAACTACAGCGCCTCATGTAGAAAAAAAGAGTCGATTAGCGAAGGAGTTAATCTTATAGTAGGTTCCCATAAAGGCCAATGGTCCCCGATGATTGCAGCAGGATACTGGCCTAGACAATCTGCAACCTCTTCAGGCACTCCCTAGATTCACGCCGACCCCTTAAAGTCTCGGACTAAGCCATGTTTTCATCCATTTACGGGGGAGTTGATGAAGAACCCCCAGGCACATATGTACCAATTCACTCACCTTTAACATTGTCCAAAGTATCGAAAAGCCGTAGGGCCCACGATGCCTGGTAATTCCGCAACAGGAAAAACACCGTTCACGCCACTCGAAGCAGTTGTTCATGTGCCTCGAACTTACTGCCTTAGGCCACTGTACCCTTACCTGAAACAACGAAGGAACAGTCGTTGCCATTCTCATCGACCTGTCAAACGCATTTGACGGCATCCCACAAGAAGTGCTCCTCCATAAGATCGAGGTGGCAGGCATAAGTGGGCAACTGTCTCCCTTGTCTAAGACCAACCCGGGAGGCAGACGGTTCTCCACAAACGTTAACAGGGTAAGTTTTGAGTGAAAGCCATTGATATCAGAGGAATCGCGAGGAGCCTCCCTGGCGCTATTTTCGTTCCAGCTGTTCATCAGCGACCTCACACGCATAACTTCTTCGCACGCCTTTCTTTTCCCCGATGACACTGAAAATTTGGAGGGTGGTGAGTGGAGAGGCCGACCGTAGACTGCTCCAAGACAACCTTCAGCAACTGAAACTCTGGTTAGCGTAAAGCGGCTGGGGCTTCGACTTGGAAAACAACGGAGCGATGCACATCATGACCAAACAGGCGAGGACGCCAGAATTCGAACATGAGTTGAGCAAACATGCTGCCACCAAAGTGTCCACAAGAAAGATATGGGTCTAGACTTATCTGACACTGTAAACACCAGCTCTAATGGCAAGCAGAGAAAACACAACGTTACACTTCCCGCTTGGATAGCTCGCTACTCTTACTCCTGGTCTGCCTCCGATGGTTTTCAAATCCTGTGTTCGGCAGCGCTCTGAGGTTTCCAATACAATAAGACAGCCATCACTTCACTCTTGAGAAAATACAAAGACCTGCCGGGGAATCAACTTCGGACTAGGGGACATACTGGCGCACCAAGACCTATCCACCTTAGGTTTTCGCAGAATAAGGGCTGACTCTATCACGACGTGTATGATTGTCCACCAACCAAACCGCTCCAACAGACTTACTTTGCCTGCTACATGACGGTCATCATGAGTAAACCCCAACAGGATAGCTCACTACACAGATAAAATCGGGCTCACGTCAAGCTTCTTTCCTCAAGAGTATGTGCTGTACGGAACGCTTGAATGCGGAGTGTGGTAACATCCCTGTCAGAAGACTCGTTCAAAAGAAGTTTATACAAACACGCTGGTTCGTTCGACCTGCCAGCGACGTATTCAGGGCACTACTGACCTCCCCAGTCCACTACCATCCTCTTATTATCTTCCATTCATCACCTTTTTGTCTCTGATATAGCTGTACTGTCTTCACTTCTCTAGTAGATAGACTCATACTGTCTGCTTTGGGGATTCAAGAACCTCTCTTATAACGTTTCTTACAGTGCTGCTATGTCCAATAAGGCTATCATAAAGACAGGAGTCACGGAAGACCCTTACTGTTCCTAAGCGTCTATAGAGTTCCAACCAACTGAGACTAAAAGTCACAAATGTCAATTTGTTCACCTAAAATGTCACCCCTCTGAAGACAAGTGACATATTCACGTCTGACTTATCGCACTACTACAGTTGTTAAGGGAACCATAATAAGCTGAATACGCTGAGATACTTTGTATGGATGACACGTCATACACTTCTCCAGAAGCAATAGCTAATGGTTCGATGAGGTTTAACATTGGTGCTGACCTTCATATTTTAACTGGACTCGTTGAGCCGGAAGCCGACGGTCAAGCATCCTTACCATTTGGCACCCTGTCGTGACATGTCGCACTGCTCGTAATCGATCTTCTAGTCAGTTAGTTGGAAAACATTGGCATATCGGCACGACCTGGTAGATATACTATTCCATCCGACTACGCTATTGTGTTCTTCCTTGGTCTCGTATTTGTGGGTTTATAACAAGTTCGAATAATCAGTGTTTGGCCCCTGCGTCTACCAAGTCTGCACGAGGACAATTCCTCAACAGATCTGTTGAATCCAAACGAAAACATCGTCGGACGTAGCTTTAAGGAGATTCGATGTTCAACAGTTTTGACAGAAAACTCAAAATAACACATGGACTATCCCATCATGCTCAAGAAAACTGCGTCAATTAGTTAAAAGTAATGGGAGAAAATAGTCTAGATTGGCATAAAGACTAATTTCCTCCTACTATTTTACTGCATCCAAAGACTAAATGATATCATTGAGTATAAACATACACTAAATAGTCCGAAAACTGATTTTCTTCAAACAGAATAAGGAAATCCTGTTGAACGCACTGCTAAACTAAGAGCATAGCGTGCAAGAATTATCGTGAATTCCTGAAAGTAAGCAGTCGGAAAAAATCCAGCAAAGTGACTTCTCAGCAAACGTTTTACCTATTTCGTTGAGTAGGATTCACCTTTATGTGTACTGATTTCTGCGGTGAGTATTGATACTTTGCCTTTTTTTATCGCTCTCTGATACATTCCCTTACGTTGCGTATCTTTTAGTGATACTATTGTTATGTGGTCTTGAGAAAATTTTAGTGATACTGTCACTATTTATTGGTTCATGGCTCAAAATTAATCAATGGTCATCATGAGTTACACAGGAATCCCCGAATTTCAGCTATGAGTATTTTCCTGAAACTAAAATAGATCCAGTAGGTGGTCCAAATCGGACATTGAGATTCTTAGGTTCCAAAGACCAGCCTGTGTTCAAACACTTAATATATTCAGCTCTCTGCAGCTTTAGATCCCGTTGCTTATGCAGTATCCATCAACAAACACTACGCATCATGAGTCTCTTTCAACTGAAACACAAGGAAAAGTATTTCTTCCACTTTTTGTGAATTCCTGGTTTTATTTGTGATACAACAGTTGAGTCGGATGTATTTACCATAGGATAGTGACTGGGGCCAGTGACCAGCGAAAACTTATACAATATTCCAAAGCAAAAAACTTTATAACGTTGTGATCAGTGGGAAATCAACCATGTAGCTTGAGGTATTGATTGGCTGAACAATTTATTATTCCTGCTTCCCACTAACGTCAGTCACTAGCATTTGGTACTAACAATATTAATCCATTTCATCCAGACTGCAAATGTCTCCGCTGAGCATCATATAGCACAAAACACCACAAAACATGGGTTTGGAATAAGCCTATTAGGCCATTAACATGAAGTAGGATGGAAAAGGATTTTAAAGCTATATTCTACAAACCTCTGTTTCTAACCTTTTCCCAAAATGTAGTTTCCGAAAAGCTTCATCCTTCTATTCGGCACCCTAACATTCCTTGCACTATCAATGAATGTTATATTACTATCTGTTGTTGTACTAATGTACATTCAGAAATGAATGCAGCATAGATTGTTTATCTGTGTTCGGTTAAACACGTAGTTGACTCTCAGCCAATCAGATGCCTAAGCGGCTGTCAGCCATTTTGTTTTGTCTGCATCTGTTCTGCCATTGCTGTCAGGTCAGTTGCGTTTAGGGCTGTTTGCTGTGCGCTCGTTGCGCTCTGGTCTTGTTTATTTTCTTCGCAACTCTAGAGGATATTCACAATGGTTGTCCCTCCTAACTGTTTTTTCATGCTCAATATGGTTTAAATTCCTCGTTTTAATGGTTGAACTAGTCTTAGTGCCCGTAGTAATAGCTTAGAACTTATGAGTTTTAGGCGATTTTATGGCCTGTTATCGCCCGTAAAACGTGTTGATTTCGAAGCATTTTCTAATTCCTTCTTCATTTTACGTTGTAGTTATGGTGGACGAACTTCATGTGCTTAAGAAGAGGATTAGAACACTCAGCGAATCATCCAGGTATGATTTTAGAGAAAATTTGATACTGTTGCATTGTTCTTCACCCTCTGGAACTAACTCTGTTTTCTGAATTACCTTGGCGTTTGGATTTGTCATTGTTATCTTATTAAAGTATTGTTGCGACTAGTTTGTCGTCTTATTGTCGCGATCTAAGGCAACGACAAAGCCTTTCCTACATCATATTTGGAACATTGAAGTACGGGCGCCAGGCACCTCGTGGTATGCGTATTCGAGTGTCCTTAGGCCTTCTTTTGACATAGATGCTTGCCAGACTATGTTCCATAGTGTGTAGCCTACTCAGTTATTTAGGAGTTACTGTTCGCAGTGGAAAAATGGAGTGTACTCCGGCTATTCTAGTGCTGAACGAGTTCTCAGTAGTACGACTTGCCTTTATTTGCGTACCACCCTTGTCTCACCAAGGTGTACACCAAAAAAATTCTCTAGTCACTCTTAATCATGTTTGTGAGCACAAAAACTATCATCATGAGTTGCCGAGAACTGGTGCACTTCTCGGCGTTTGTTACACTACTGCAATGCCTCTTAGACACAGGTATCACACCTTTCAGCTCTCTTGGTGGTCATTAGGATATCCATTTTTTAGTATCACGGTGTATTGAGGTTTCACTTGAACGTCGTGTTTTAGAGCACGTCCCCACCGCAGTCTGCTTCCTATAGACCACTGAATTGTGAATAATTGCTGGTTCATAGTTTGGGTTTCTGAGGTACTTCCTTCCTAAGTAGTAACATTTCTTGTAATGGCTTGTAATTGTAATACGACCTGAGACTGTTACAGGTCTTCGTTCTGAGTCCCATGAACTTTTTTTTACGCTGCATGTTAGATGCATTATTTACTCAAGCCTCTTAGTTCTTGATACTAGGTGAGTTGATTAGCATCTATGTCCTGTCATTTTTTCTCATTTTGAATCTTAAGGAGTGTTGGTCTAGCTCCATGATATTAGTTGTCTACCTTGTGGCTTTTAAGGCCAGTATTTGACTGTGTCGTTGCAGAAAGAAAGGGTTCACGTCGTTTCGCTTGATGGTCGAGTTCCTTGATATCACTTTTGCAAGATAAGCTTTTGTATTGTCTCTACGGTGGCAGAAAATATATTAGGACTTTCTTTTGTATAAGTGAATACTGTGTTTGAACACAACTCTATTCTTTTGTAGCTCGTTTCGTCAAATTGTCGATGGCATTCCAAGTAGGATTTTCTTGGATGAGCGGATTGTTGGTCCAACCTTATGTCCATCCAGTGGAGTTATAGCTCATCGGCTTAGGGGTTGACCGGCTGGTGGGTCGCTGGTCCGTGCACCACCCCACCTACCGGAGGCTGGGCACCTAAGTGGTGTCGTTAACCCCTTGCGCAATACGTGTTGCTGATTACCTATAGCTCGAATGTGCGCAAGCTTGCTGAGTAGATTCCGACTTAGTTCATTCGAGATCAGTGACAATAAACCCACCGAAATAGACTCTCAAGCTTGTTTGAAGTCGGGAAACTTAAAGCCATCCAATACCAGTAATTGTACTGCACAGCAGTCGTCTGTTCTACTGCATGGCTTTGAAACATGGCCATTGAAGGTGGAAGACATGAGAAGGCTTCAAGTGCTTAACCACCATTGCCTTCGTAGTAATCCATGGTGTCACCACGTGAGTAGTGTAGAAGTCAGGTGTAGGGGTAGAGTTTTAGAGAGAAGAGGTAAGTCGGTTGACGAGGTTGTGAACTTCCATCCACTTAGATGGTTGGGACACTACTACGTATGCCTTGTCACACGATGTTGGCCGAAGTAAGCCCAGGCCGGAAAAAGGCTCTAGGTGGCCAGACCAAAACATGGCACCAATGTATGAAGTGTTTGACTGTTGGTTTGAGCCATGTTTGGCGATGCAGACTGAGTGGTTGGGGTCCACGGGACAAGAGGAACCAGTGGTTGGAGACTAGGTGATATGGCTCAGAACCGATGCCAGTGACGCAGATGTGTACACATCCTCATCTCAACACTATGCCGATTCTCACCATTTTGTCATTCTTCCTTCTCGTACTTAATATTTCTTTTGACTGAGTTTTCTTATTTTCATCTCTCACCTCACTGCCTTTTTACTTGATGTACTGATATGAGATGTGGCAACTCGGACCTTTATGCAGTAATGCCTGGTCCTATGTTGATATTGATGATGATACTCAGTAATTCACGTGGTGTTAACTACAGGGTGCCGATCGTGAAAAACATTCACAAGATAAGATTATTTGGATGAAGTACGACGTGGTATCTACTTTTAAGGTTCACTCCCGAGCATTTCACTGGCAAAAATAAGTAAGTATCGATAGGGTCGAGTCTTTGGTCGGATGTGAAATTCAAGCGTTGTGCTGTCCTCGTGGAATCACCATGTGAACAACATTGAGGTCGGGTGAAGGGTACTAGACAAGGAAGGCAAGTCACTCAATAAGGTTATGAGTCGTCACCGAGTTAGGTAGCTTGGAGATGTTCTGCGCATGCCGAGTCACTGCCTGCCTCAACGTCCAGTGCTAGTGGGAGTCGGGAGAGGGCTGTGTCCAGACTAAGACGTAGCGCTAGTGCATGAAATCCCTAGCTGTAGGTCTGGGTGGTATAGGGAGATTTCTAAACTTCATATCCACTTGTTCCTCGTGTATGGTACTATGAATTGGGACAACTTGAATGAGTGCACTTGTGTACCAGGTTCGACGAGGCGACATTGTACAAGGTTAACAATATTTGTTCCTGGGACTTACGTGCAACTACAATTAGTTCCTCTTAGGTTTCGTCAAGAATGCCATGATTTGGGCGGTTGGGTGGGGTTTCAGATCGTAGAGTTGATCATCTAGTGATGTCACCGACAAATAACTTTTCAAATGATTACTAGACATGTGGTAATCTCTTAAGATTGACAAGTTAGTGAAACAGACTTGTGTTTAGACATGTTAGTCTGTCCGCATGAAGCACCAAACTGCTGGCACCCAATAAGTTCCGATTGCTCGGTTTGCCGTTTTTGTTGCCTGGATTCAGGTTCGTACAAGGTTTTCTAAACCTATCTGTTGGGCGGAGTAGCGCTATCAGTTGTAGCTCGGTTGCTATAAAAACCTAGCTTTGTGCACTCAATGCTGGAGGTGTAATGGACTCGGATGAAACGACGCTTGGCGACTGAAGTATGGTGTTTCGGTTTCGAACCTACGTATCCGCACCCATCTAGGATCCAGCTTTCAAGGTTGTCATTATTCCGTTTGGCTAAGGCCTTGTAAACGAAGCAAGACTTCTGTTATATGAAGTGTTGGCAAGCCCTTCGTTACCGATGTCTATTTGTTTATGAGCCTTACCTTGGTAAGGATTCAACTGACAACGTGTTTGGACAAAAGACGTTACTGCGCTCTTTTAAAGCAGGCTACAACTTTTCAGTATATCCTACTTTTGACTCAAGGTAACCGATGGCTTTCAAACCTCTATTACCCGATTCTTCATGGGGTCTCACTAAGTGCGATTATGGAAGTGTCACCTATTGGTTTACGCTGTCAACATAGTCTGTCCGGGGTTCAAATTCTACTGTACCTGCAGCAACAGTGTGGTATCAGTATTCATCAGTTTAAATATGCTTCATAGTCTGCTACGCAGATGTGTACCACGTAGGCAAGTTACATTGCTATCATTAGTGTTTGTAGTAGGACCTGTAACTTAAGTGAATCTCATACTTTTAAAATTCTAAACCCCACCTTGATTGACTGGGACGCACCAGCGCAAGATTATCCTGTGATACATCACTGAACGTTAAAATGCCACATCAGCATAGGACCAGACATTACTGCCACACTTCATATCAGCACATAAAGTAACAAGACAATAAAATGAGGATGAAGGAAAATCAGTCAACGGGAGTAGAAGTATAAAGTAGTAAAAAAGAGAAAGGAGGAGTGAGACTAAGTAAAGCGGTTATGACGATAGTGTGTGTATGCATCTGCGCTACTGACGTCGGTCATGAGCTGTCTCACCTAGAGTCTCCAACTACTGGTTTCTCTTGTCTCGCAGACCCCAATCGACTAGTCTGCATCGTCCTACACAGCTCAAATGGACAGTCGAGGACTTCGTGGATTGACGTCATGTTTCAGTCTGACTGCCTCTAGCCTTCTTCCAGCCTGAACCTGTCATGCCATGGTTAAGTATGGCTTTCCTCGTGTAATCTTACTTGTGCGTGAGTGTTTTCCTAAGCCTGTCTAGTTTTATGTTAGTTCCTGCTTATGTTTACCTTATTGGGTCACCGGGTTGTATCATACCTGCGTTGAGTTAAAGTGACCAAACGGTCTACCGTCAGCAAATCACGCTACTGAGCATTGAGATTTAGTTACGACAGTCAGAGATTGGATGCTTGTTACTACAGAAGGGTTGTTGACGAAGTATTTTTTCCAGCTGTGTCCAGTAATCGTAATTTAGATCGACATTCGGTGATAAAAGTTCAAGTTGAGTGTATGGGGTCGAGTGGTGGATAAACCTTGTTCTTCGCCAGACTATCTTCATTTCCACTTTCGTCATGGCCATGGGATTTTATTTCACTGCCATGCAGACCCGGGTTTTTAATTTTTTTTTTTACTAACTGACAATGTATTTCAAAGTACTTTATCAATGTAATGTGATGTTGAATACAATTTGTATTATATATTTTCTGTATTTTGTACTGCAGCCTAATCAGGGGTGACAGTGGATTTGTTCCCTACCTCGCGTACTGATAACCAAGGTACAACTAATCATTACGGTGTTTGTGAACTAGTGTAGAAAGGGCATATAGGAATCTGTGTTGCTGATGTTATGAAAACTGTTCCCGGGAAACAAGCTGAACAGATACAGTGCCAAAGTACTAGACTAAGGTAAAGTAACACATGCAACCGCGTTTAGTCAGTTCACTCCAGCAACAAGTGTTTTATCATCGGTTTGCGTATGTTCTTGTGTGACATAAACCTGATTTCTTGACTGTCATAGGTTGGACTATCTGTTTTACGTGAGGT